GGAAGTTGTGGGGGCAGAAAAAACCCCCCCCCCCCCCTTTATCTTAATAGAGCTTACCAAGTTACTTCCCAGTGGGTGAAAACTTTGCTGCTCATAAGATCACCACACCAGGCCACCCTCCCAGCTGACCCAGTTCCAAAAGCCAAGCAGGGGCTCATCCCATGCCCCAAACTGCCATTTAATCCAAAAGAAAAAAGATCCAGTGGCACTCCATCAAAATCCAACTTAAGTGTAACTTTATTGTTCCAGACAGGCAAACTTGAAGCCCAACCAGGGACCTCCCATTCTGATTCATTTCACCCCAAACTGGGCTTCATTGTAGAGTAGATTCACAAAATTTTGGGTGAAATGCATCAAGATGGAAGGTCCAAGGGGTTCTTCATGAAACATGCAGGCAAACATGAATCCCCACCAGGGACCTCCCATCCTGATGCAACATTTTGTGAAATGACTTTACGATGAAGCCCAGTTTTGGGTAAAATGCATCAGAGTGGGAGGTCCAAGGTGTGGCTTCATCTTTGCCTGCCTGGAACAATAACGTTTTACCTGGGTTGGATTTTATTATAGTGCCACTGGATCATTTTCTTTTGGACTTAGTGGCAGTTTGGGGCACGGAAGTAGTCCCTGCTTGGCTTTTGGCACTGGGTCAGCTGGGAGGGTGGCCCGGTGTGGTGGGCTTGTGAGCATCAAACCTTTCACCCACTGGGAAGTAACTTGGTACGCTCTATGACGATGAAGTGGGGGGGGGGTTATCTGCCCCCAACAATTACCCCCATCAGCTGCTATGATGCCATTAAAGAGACCCTGTCAGTCTCTAGGAAAAAAAAACCTATACAATAAAGTTACACTTGCCTTGGAATTTACCGGCATGCCACCAGCTGTCTTTTTTTTTGGACTTCTGTTGACTATTGTCCAGTGGATTGAACAAATTTTGGGGGTTATTTGGATGTCCATCAATCGCCTAACTCATGTAGAATTTTAGATTTCACAAAAAAATGCTCTTTTCTAAGATCTGTTGCAACATTGTTGCTCCCTACAGTGATACGTGTATGCCGATTTCCCGAACCTCTTGTACTCCAGTCATGCTGTATGAGACTTTTCTGACTGTAATGTGAAATACATGTATAAACCCGCCGGAGGGGATTACTGAACTGAGCTTAATGCGAGTCTGAAGTGAATGAGCCGCTCCCGGTATTATTTATCCCTTGTGTTAATTTTTATCAGGATCTCCGGCTGTAATGGGTTGAGAATCTTTAACAATCGGGAGCGTAAGATGGTAATGAAATCAACCTGTGGCTCGGCGCTAATGCGTTTTATGACATTTTCCCAAATTCTGCCTTTGAAAAATGAGCTGCTAAAGTGAGTTACAGGTCCTCTTAGTCACCGCGTCAGGAGTCATTAAAGTGTCGAACGATGTGGATTGTTAATGAATTTTTTTTTTTTTGCTTGGAAATAATATGCTTCTTTGGCAGTTCAGGTCTCTGCCTGACTTTCATTACCAGAAGTAAGACTCGTAATGTGCTGGATCAGTTACTGTCAGCTGTGCACATACTGGGTGACATCCACAAATGTACCATTTCATTTTATTTTGTATTCTATTTGATAATTGTTAAACACACTGCAGATCATTCTGTATTATCGCAGGTTTATACTGAAAGAAATCATTTAAAGCCTAAACCCAGCTAGATTATGTTTCTTTTATTCAGTGATAGCACCAGAGATAGTTGATCCAGGGAATATCTGACCACCTTAGGGCATCAGGAGGGAATTGTTTTCCCCCTGATGGAGCACATGGAATCATATGTTATATAGGTTTTTATGACCTTTCTTTGGATCAGCTGTGGGCATAGGCTGTTGTTTATGGAGGTTTTCTATTTATTATTGTTTTATTGTTATTAATATTACTACCTCCTCCTCAGCCTTCCTTCTTCCTTTTTCTTCCTTCTTATTTCCTCTTCCTTCTTTCTCTTCCTCCTCCTTCCTCTTCCTTATCCTTCCTTTCTCTTCCTTCTTCTTTCCTCTTCCTTCTTCCTCTTCCTTCTTCTTCTTTCTTTCTCTTCCTTCTCCTTCCTCTTCCTCCTCCTTCCTCCTTCATCGACTTCCTCCTTCTTCCTCTTCCTTCCTTCTTCTTTCCTCTTCCTTCCTCTTCTTTCTTTCTCCTCCTTCCTCTTCTTTCTTTCTCTTCCTCCTCCTTCCTCTTCCTCCTTCTTCCTCTTCCTCCTTCATCGACTTCCTCCTTCTCCCTCTTCCTCCTTCATCGACTTCCTCCTTCTCCCTCTTCCTACTTCTTCTTCCTTTTTCTTCCTCTTACTTCCTCTTCCTCCCTCTTCCTCCTCCTCATTATTATTAATATTATTAATATTATTATTATTATAATAAATAGGAAAAATTAGTATTATGATGATGAGTAAGTACCTCTCAAGGTAGAATGGAGCAGCATTTTCCCCAGGAAAGGTCGGGCTCTGTCTGATCATCTAGTGCGTGTTGTTTTAATTTATTATTGGTAATTATGTAGCGCTGACAAGTTACGCAGCACTTTACATACATAGTGCAAATTCACATCAGTCCCTGCCCCCAAGGAGCTTGTAATTTAAAGTGACATTAAACCCTCAGATTTTTTAACATAAAACAATACTGTAATGTGCGCCTTACTGTAATCCATGGTTGTTTCCCTTCTCTTTGCTGCTCTTCCTTTTAAATCCTCATGTCTTCTCATGCTTGGGGAGAACTTCTGTTTTGCAGCAGACTGCCTTGTCTCAGGAATGGATATACAGTGCCTGTGTATAGGTTTGTATAGGTTTGTAACCTGAGCCAGCACTACAGGAAGAGGCCCTGAGCTGAAAAGGGAAATTCTCCCCAATCATGAGAAGACATGAGGATTTCAAAGGAAGAGCAGCAAAGAGAAGGGAAACAACCATGGATTACAGTAAGGCGCGCATTACAGTATTGGTTTATGTTAAAAAATCTGAGGGTTTAATGTCACTTTAAGGTCCCTATCTCACATACAGAGGGCCAGTTTAGACAGGAGCCAATTAACCTCCCAGCATGTCTTTTGGAGTGTGGGAGGAAACCGGATTACCCGGAGCAAACACATGCAAGCCCAGGGAGAACATGCAAACTCCCTACAGGCTAATTAATAGTTAGTGACCTGACCAGGATTGAAACCAGGGGAACCCCCAGTAGTATAAGGCAAACATGGTGACCACTGAGCCACTGGCACGATTCTGTTTTATCTACCCCTCCCAGCAAAACAGTTGTAACACTTCCATACTAACACCTGAGTACAGGTCCTCTTTACTATTTCCAGTGCAGCAAGAAGTCGTCGTATGTTGCACCCCCCACCACTTGTCATCCCAAATTTGAGGCTAATTAATATATTGCATTGATAAGGCAGCTTACCAGAGCCCGGAGAGCAGGAACAGTTTGATTTATGACATCATGCATAAATGAGAATATTATTAAGTCATCATGTTAAGAGACGGAAACTCGCTGTTTACGGTTCACGGTCTTCTTCCTCCCGTGCTTCTTGGTAAACAAGGAAAATGAAGACTAATGGGGAGGCGTGCTTCGGCAATGCGTCATTAGCTTACTGCTTCACCTGGGAGGAGGTGGGGCGGGCTCTGATATAATCAACCATTTACACTTCCGAATTTCAGGCAGATGTCTTAAAAGCTATATATGATATCTACAGCAAGGGTAGGCTGCCTCTGGGAGTCATGCCTGTGGCTGTCAGAGTCTTGCAATGCCTTATGGGATTTGTAGTTGCACCACAGCTGGAGGGCCTGATCTATAGCATTATCTTTAATGCATTTTTCAGTTGAGTCCAATGAGATTGGAAAAATACAGTCGCCTGGCTGAACATGCCATGGGCCAGTGTTAAAGTGTTATGAATTATATCAGCTTCCTGTCATTTATTGCATTCAAACCAGGTGGGGGAGAGGGAGGGCTAGGTGGCATCCAGGCTCTGCTGCAGTGCAAAGTGCTCTCAGTCTAATACTTAACAAATGCTATAGGATAAAAGAACACGGGGATGACTCATCGACTTCTTCGTTGTCCACTCAATAGGCTGGTGGGAGGGTGTGGGGGTTTGTCCGGGATCATGCTGGAACTAAAGCCAAATTCAAAAGTGACATATATGATAAAGTCTACATTAGCATTAAAGCAATTGGTTTTATTTCTCTGAGTCCCTCCCCC